CTTAGGATTAGGATGGGGTCATCTATTCCTTGGAAAGTTTCAGAATCAGCTTGATCCAGCACAGAGCAAGACTTCTGGTTCTGACTGGGCCTAGACTTCTAGAGTACATGGACACTGGACAGGCATGACAGGGGCCATGGTTCGCAAGGCAAATGGAAGGGAACTGATGCTCAATTAACAGACTGGACTATCCTGAGTGAAGGCTTAGCCCTCTGGAGAGTCCTTCTCTCTTGTTGAATTAGTAAACCCATGGTGCTCCTCCCCTTTGATGCAAGACCAAGTTCTGTCATTTCTATAGTTTTGGAAGGTGCTTGCTCTGTACTTCTGGTTTACTCAGATAATACTATATTCTTCTCAGGTCTCTGCTGGGATTGAAGACTAGACAGTTCTTGTTTTACAGTTTTCCTTGTTACTAAATTCAGAAAAGAAACTAAAAAAGGAGATGTAAAGTTTATAAAGGTTATGAGACATAAAAGCTTAAGCTGTTTATCTAAGAAAATGTCTTAAGGTCTTAAAAGATATTTTTAGGTTGGTAACACAAGTTATGATAGAAAGTGATTTATGTACAAAACTTGGGACTCACCAAGATAGGATAGATAATGGGGTACTTTCTCCAAAGTTGCCAAATACAAATAGACTGGACATTGTGAATGTAATCCTTACTTGACAATTGTTCTTACTGTGTTAGAGTTAAAACCTTCCCTTTTCATTTAGACAAAAACCGGGAAATGTGGGATATTTGATCACACTGTGTGAAGATACATCACTGCTTTTCCTCCCCTGCTTAAGGCGCCTTCTGATTGGTTTAATAAAGAGCTGAATAACCAATAGCTAGGCAGGAGAGGATAGGTGCAACTTTTGGACGGAGATAGGAACTCTGGGAAGACCATCAGAGGGAGTGGGACTGAGGAAAGGTGGTAATCTATGTGATACAATGTAGATTAACATAAATAGGTTAATTTAACTTACCATATCTACTTGGGAACAAGTCTAAGCTGAGGCCAAAGTTTTATAATTAATAAGAAATTTCTGTGTCATTTGGGAGCTGACAGTCCAAAGAGGGTCTGACCACAGAGTGGTTCTGTGGGTCAGCAGGTGTTACCAAGGGATGGAGATGGGCTGGGAGGAGAGGCTGAAATCTGTGGCAGGGAAGATCTAGGTGGATCTACACCAAGAGGCATAGTCCCCCAGAAGTGATACCTTCAGAGTAATAATACAGTAATAGCGATACATAAAACCAAGTAATCACAAAGGTGATTGTGCCTGTGAGAACTTATAGGACATTGCTGAAAATGTAATGAACAGTCAGAGAAATTAAAAGGCAGTTCAGGAATTCAAAGACTGAAAGAGTTTAAGACGTGAAGTTGGTAAATCTCTTAGGGAGTAGACTACAAGACAAATACATGAAAAAGCAGAGTGAAAGGATAAAAGTTAAACTATTAATCTCAGAGCTTTATTATCTGACCGATGGCAGTGTCGAAGAGAGTGAAAGAAATTGTTTCAGAAATTCATAGGAGACTAGAAGGCTTTCCAGAAACTGGCTGAAACATTGTGTGATAAAGCCTTGAACAGTGTGAGGGCAGAAAAGGCAAACTGTTACAAGTTTGTTAACTGCCTTGTTAAAGGCAGCAAACGTCTCAACTAGAAAATAGGGAACAAACAAACAAGCACACAAAAAACAAGAGCAATGCTTAGAAAGGGAGATGTTTCCAAATATGATTTTCCCCAACCATCCTGAATACTTTAGTGACTCAAAGCCATTTCAGAATCAGTAAGCCCTCAGCAGCACCCAAGCCTTCCTTTTACACGGAGCCCCTAAGACAAAAGAACAGCAAGTTGTGCTGTGAGTCCAATACAGGAACAGCTCTTACTTTTAACTTTTCACTGACACATAAAATGTGTACCTACTTATGGGGCACATTGTGATATCTTATTTACTTATTTGCTTTGAAATCACATTATTTACTCATGTGATGCCATGGCATGCTATAACAAGCATTCTTCCCACCAGCCTGGTACCAGAGCCACACCAGTCCCAAATGAACACGCAGGACGCCATATTAATTATGAAGCTGTTGGATGTTTGCTATGGTTTCTTGTTTGCTAGCTCTGACTTAATTATTAGCCCATAACTGCTAATCTGAGCATTTCCACGTTGTCTTCTCTTACCAGAGAAAGGGTCTGAACCTCTTACTCCTCTAGTGTCCTACATGGTAACTCACTGTGTCTCCATTTCCCAGAATCCTCCACCTCTCCTAGTCCCACCTATCTTGCTTCCCTACTTGCCAACAGTGCTTTATACATCAACCAATAAGACAAACATATACACAGAAGACCATTCCCCATCAGTATACATGTGGAGTTCAGAGGAAAGCTTGTGGGCATAGATTCTCTTCTCCACCAGAGATCAACTGGGGCAGGAAGGCTAGCTGCTGACTGAACCATCTGGCTAGTTCCAGTGCAACGTTTTGATGTATGTGTGTGCTGTATGGAGTGAGCATATCTCCTCTCACATAACTGTCATATCTTCCTGAGAAACACTCAAAACTCATTCTTCTTGTTTTCCTGAAATGTACCATACATTATCATCCTCTCCAGGCTCCCTTCTGTGCAGCAGAACATAGAACTCCATTGCCTCTCTTTGTCAATTAAGCAACCCCAGAACACAGCTGTGCTCCTGTGCCTAGGACTCGTCTGTGGTGGTTCCCACAATATAAAGGCAACGGCGAGTAGTTGTGAGAGACTGTGAGGTCCAAAGACCCTAAATCATTCACAGTCCAGCCCTTCATAGAGAATGTTTACTATTGCTGATGTGTGGCTCAGTGGTGGAGAGTTTAGCATTTAGAAGGCTCTGGCTTCGATTCCCCACAATGGAAAATAGAGTAAGCCAAGATAATACAAAGTCAGAGTTATGGTAAAAATCTAATCTACTGAAGCAAGGGGAACAGAAAGTTCCAGGAGTATTCTTTCTGAAAGAGAAAAATGCAAGAAGGGAGGAAAGACAGAGGAAAAGAAAGAAAAGAAATGGCCATGTCTGATGTTATTGAGAGTATTGGGGGCCTTGGCTGAATTTAAGGACAGAGAGGTAGAAAGTGAAGCAATGAGTTGGAGTCAATGGCAAGCTGATAGGAAGCAGCTATAGGGTTGGGACAGAGTGAATGACGAAGACAGTGCTGACCTAAGGAGCCAAGAGGGGTAGCAAATGCTTGTGATCACAACATGCCAGAGTCGGAAGCACGAGCATTGCATGTTTGAGGCCGGTCTGGGCTACATAGTGATTCTGTCTCAAAGCACGTGCCCACACAAACAAAGCTGCAAGATCAAACGGTATCTGGGTCACACAGGACTTCTCACATTCATCATGTTGGAAAACTTTGGTATGGAGGTGAAAATTATAAGGGTGTGATGAGGAAAGATGGAAACTTGGAGATGAGGGCTGTCATAGTTAGGTGTAGTCTTCAGGCCAGGATGCCATTCAGAGGCTGTAGAATCTTTAAGGGGTTATAGTTAGGGAAGAAAGTGGTTCGAGGAATGCCTTTGAAGGGGATATTGGGGCCCCTAGCCCCTACCCTGTTCCCAGCTGCTGTTAGGTGAGCAGCTTCCTCACAGCGCACACTTCCACCTTGAGATGGGCTTGAAACTCTAGGCAGTCAACCTGGCTCAAATGTGAGCTGCACCAACGCTTTCTTCCATATGAGTTGGTTATCTAAGGCTTTGTTTATGGAAATTGACCAACGCAACCATCTACTGTCTCCATTTCTGTATCCTTTATCTAAAGTAACAGTAAGGACTTAATCAAGTACAGACTCATAAAGACATGGGAAATGAAAAGGAAATAACAAGAATACAATTTTGTGAGGAAAAAAAAAGGCGGATGGATGATTGGGCAGGAATTTCTCACACCCCGGGAAACTGATTTTTACATCAAGGAGCATGGAGAGGAGTTGGTAAAAACAAAGGACTTGGTGGCATTGAGTAGATCCTTTGGGTAGTAAAGTTGAAAGAGGTCAGTGGCACAATAAAGACATTTGATTTTAATTCTTGTGGTGATAAATTGTTTATAATTCATTAAGGCTTGCCTGAGGATTCAGAAAGCAAAGTCAGCCACAAGCTATAGAGGTCAGGCAGGACCCAGGATTAAGAAGAGATAGCGGGATCTCTGTTAGTTCAAAGCCACACTGACTACACAAAATTAATCCAGTCCTAAAAAGAAAACAGCTCACACAAAGGTGATCCTGGCATTTGGGATCATATGCCTTTAATCCCAGCACTAGGGAGCTGGAGTGATATGGTTGGGTTGAGAGAGGAATATAAGGAGGAGGAGATGGGAACTGGGAGCTTTTTGCCTGTGAGGATTCGTGGGGACAGGATTCCCCACTTCAGCTGGGTAGAGGTAAGATCTACTTGCTTGCCTGCTTTGTTTCTCTGATCTTCAGTTTGAAGCTTGAACCCCAAAATTAGTCTCTGGGTCCTTTATTTATCATGTCACAAATTCTCTTTAAAAAAAAAAAAACAACAGCCACAACCAGCTTTGTAGCTTGGTGATGCATTGCTTAGCATGCATGGACCCTGGGTTCAGTTCCCAATACCATTAAAAAAATAAATGAAAACAGGGAGATAAAAGGAACAAATACATATATTGTATACAGAAACTCTGACAGTTCCACAATATAAGTATAATTATGACCATTTCTCCCTCTGTTTTGCATGTATGTGTGAGCACATGTACAAAGACTTACAAGTCTAACTCATATGACAGTTTTTGAGGCAGAGTCTTTCATTGAACCTAGAGCTCACAGGTATGTCTATATTTGCTGGTTTGTTAAGTCCTAGGATCCTGCTGTGCACTGCCAGGTCTTGGGTGTTTGTGTGTGTGTGTGTGTGTGTGTGTGTGTGTGTGTGTGTGTGTGTTGAACTCAGGTCTTCATGCTTGCTGGACAAGCCTTTTACCAACTGATCTTTACACCCCATGACCTTTATGTTTTCTTTTGCAACAACAGAGCACTGACTCAGGACCTTCTTTGTGGAAAGCAAGCGCTGTGCCACAGAAAGTTCTCTACACAGTGCCACAGCTTATGTTTTACAAATGTGGAAAACCAGCTCCAGAGAAGGTGTGTAACTTTCCCACAGACGCCCACTTTGTGAGCAGATGGGATGACTTGAAACCCAGGCACTCTGGTTCCAAAGCTTGCCCTTGAAATCACTATTTGCGCTGCCTCATAAATACCATGAGAGCAAATATATAGTCTTATTGCCATCATTGTGATTTCAGGTCACACCCACTTCTAATCTAGGCAGTGGTGGCGAGAGCAGTCCTGGATCACTCTAGAATCTGGTAAGTCAATGATCAATATTACCCATCACACTTATAAAACTGAACCTAGAGAATACAAACAAATCAACCACACTACCACATCATTAACATGCAAATGTGATTGAAGGCATAACAAAGGATCTCCTGAAAAAGAAAGCCTGTGACCCAGTTGAGTCATTGCTGAATACTAACAGACTTTAATGCAACTATATTTTTTAAAAAAGATTTTATTATGTATACAGTCTTTTGTCTTCATGCCAGCATAGGGCACCAGATCTCATTCAAGGTGGTTGTGAGCCACCATGTGGTTGCCGGGAATTGAACTCAAGACCTCTGGAAGAGCAGTCAGTGCTCTTACTCTCCCTCCCCTGCTACCCTCCTCTTTTTCCTACCTCCCTCACCCCCCTCACACATCCCCTCCTGCTCTGTGCTCCCAATTTTCTCAGGAGATTTTGTCCCTTTCCTCTTCTCTCTATATTGATTTCCAAAGTATGACCTGATGATTCTCTGGATTTCCTCGGTGTCTGTTGTTATGTACCCCTTTCCATTCCTGATTTTGTTAATTTGCGCATTCTCTCTTGCCTTTTGGTTAGTTTGGATAAAGTCTTGTCTATCTTGTTGATTTTTTTAAAGAACCAACTTTGTCTCATCGATTCTTTGTATTGTTTTTTTAGTTTCTACTTTATTGGTTTCAGCTGCCAATTTGATTATTTCCTGGCATCTACTACTCCTGGGTGAGTTTCTTTTTGTTCTAGAGCTTTCAGGTGTGCTGTTAAGTCTGCAACGTGACTATGCTCCAGTTTTTTTTTTTAAGTGGGCACTTAGTGCTGTGAACTTTTCTCTTAGCACTGCTTTCAAATGTCCCATATTGGGTATGTTGTGCTTTCATTTTCATTGAATACTAGGAAGTCTTTAATTTCTTTATTTCTTCCTTGACTCAGGAGTGATACAACTGAGCATTGTTCAATTTCCATGAGTTTATAGGCTTTCTGCAGTATGTGTTGCTGTTGAATTCTAACTTTAAACCATGGTGATCTGATAAGATATAAGGGGCTATTCCAATTTTTTTATCTGATAAGGTTTGCAATGTTGCTTGAGTATATGGTCATTTTAGAGAAGACTCCATGTGGCACTGAGAAGAAGGAATATTCTTTTGTGTTTGGATGGAATGTTCTATAGATGTCTGTTAAACCCAACTGAGTCATAACTTCTGTTAGTTCCTTTATTTCTTTGTTAAGTTTGGTAGTCCTGTCCAGTGGTGAGAGTAGGATGTTGAAGTCTCCCACTATAAGTATGTAGATTTTTATGTGTGATTTCAGTTTTAGTGATGTTTCTTTAATGAATGTGGGTGCCTTTATATTGGGAGCATAGATGTTCAGAATTTAGACTTCATCTTGATGAACTTTTCCTATGATAAACATGAAATAACCATCTTCATCTCTTTTGAGTAATTTTATTTTGAAGTTGTTTGTTAGATATTAGGATAGCTACACCCGCTTGTTTCTTAGGTCCATTTGATTGGAAAATCTTTTCCCAACTCTGAGATAATGTCTGTCTTTGAAATTGAAGTGTGTTTCTTGTATGAAGTGGAAGGATGGATTCTGTCTTTGTATCCATTTTGTTAGCCTGTGTCTTTTTATAGGAGAATTAAGACCATTGATATTAAGGGATATTAATGACCACTGATTGTTGATTCTTGTTTGTTTTGGATTTGTTGTTGTTAGTGACATTGTGTGTGTGTCCCCTCCCCTCTTTTTGGCTTTTGGTAAGTGTGGGATTATCTATTGCCTATGTTTTTGTGAGTGTAGGTACCTTCCTTGGATTGGAGTTTTCTGTCCAGTACTTTCTGTAGGGCTGGATTTGTGGATGTGTATTGTTTAAATTTGATTTTGTCATGGAATATCTTATTTTCTCCAGCTATAGTTATTGAAAGCTTTGCTGGGTATAGTAGTCTGGGCTGGAATCCCTGGTCTCTAGTAATACTCTGATGTTCAAACCGAACAAGAACACAACAATGACAAACTATAGAGAAATTTTCTTGATGAAATGAGATGCTAAAATTCTTGCAAATCAAATTGAACAACCTACCAAAAATCATGATTGACTTGGTTTCATTCTGGAGATGCAAGAATAGTTCTACATATGGCAATCAACAGACATAAATTTCCTATCATATAATCATTTGTATATAAATGACTTTGATGAAGTCTAATATCCCTGAGGAATCTAGGAATAGAAAGGTCATATTTTAGCATAATGAAGTCCATGTATTCATACAGCAAACCGGTAGTCAAAATTATATAGAATGAAGAAAAAGTGAAAAGCAGGAACAACATAAGGGTGTATAGTGGTTTGAATGTATTTGTCCCCCATAATCTCATAGGGAGTGGCACAAATTGGGGGTGTGGCTATGGTGGAGTGGGTGTGGCCTTATTGTAGGAACTGTGTCACTGCATGGACAGACTTTGAGGTTTCCTATGCTGAAACCAGTGTGTCAGTTGATTTCTGGTTGCATGCAAAATGTAGGACTCTCCGCTACTCCTTCAGCACTAAGTCTGCCTGCGTGCTCCCATTCTCCCAGCCATGATAATAATAAACTGAACCTCTGAAACCGTAAGGCACCACCTCAATTAAACGTTTTCCTTTATAAGAGGTGCTGTAGTCATGGTGTCTCTCCACAGCAATGAGAACCCTAACTAAGACAGAACTTGGTACAAGAACATGGGGTGTTGATGTGATAGGTCTGACAATGTTTTTGTTTGGAGTAACTTGGGCTTTGAGATTTTGGGTTGGGAAAGCAGTGGAATGTTTAAGCACTGCTTAATTGGCCATAGTAGCAGGAGCATGGAAGACAGTGGTGGTGAGTGTGATTTGACAAACTGTGGGGAATCAAGAATGCTAGTATGTGGTTTGGAGACTGGTCTTGTGATGTTTTGGTGAAGAATGTGGTGGCTTTTGGGCCCTTTTCCAAAGAGTCTGCCTGAAGCTAAAGTGAAAAGTTTTGGATTAATTCTGTTGACATAGGAAATCTCAAAACAGCCTAGCATAGACTATGTTTTGTGGTTACTGGTGTTAATTATAATGAAGACATGTAATAAAAAGGAGCAAGCTGAGCAAGGAAATTATTTAAGGAGAAAAAGAGCACCAGACTGGAATGGAGATAAATTCTGTGTTCAAGGAGGTAAACAGATTAGGAAATGGAATGAAGGGAATGGGGACCTCAGGGCAAGATCCTAACCAGCTAAGTTTCCAACTTGTGAAAAGTTTAGAGTTGTGGTAGTGCATGCCTTTAACCCCTGCACTGGGAAGGTAGAGGCTGGCAGCTCTCTGAGTTAGAGGTCAGCCTGGTCCAGTTTCAGGACAGCCAAGCTTAGGCAGTGAAGGGCAGAAAATGGGGGAAGATATAATTGAACAAAGGGGCCGTGTTCCAGCCCCCGTAAGCAGCCGAACTTGACAGCTTCAGCCATGTGGTTCTGGAGTTAGAGACAGAAGAAAGGAGTTATGGAATTTGCCCCTAAGGAAAGCTGCTGAGGCCAGGCATGTGTCAGGGCTGTCTCTGAATGGAGGCCTAGAGTGGCCATTGTGGGAAGCTGTGAAGTTGAAGCCTGGATTGCCTTGGAGACCCCAAGATGTTAGAGGTGCCAGAGCCAAGGAGAGCTGCTAACTAGTCCAAGAGAAAGAAGTGTGTTCACTCAAAAAGCTGAATGGGATAGGAGATCAGAAGAGTGTTTCGACACCTGACACAGAGACTTAGAGTTTGGAGTTCACCCAGCTTGGTTTCAGGCTTGCTTTGGTTCAGGGTTTTCTTGCTATGCTCCCTTCTCTGCATTTTGAAATGTTAATGTATATCCTGAGCCATTATATGTTGAAAGTCTGTGATCTGTTTTCTTATTTTTATTTTTACAGTGATGACAGATAAGAGATTGCATGAATCTCAGGAGAGACTTTGGATTTTGGACTTTGAAACTTTGTTGAGACTGTGAAGGACTATGGGAACTTTTGAAGTTGGACTAAATGCATTTTGCATTATATTATCTTTATAAGAGTTGCTGTGGGGCTGGAGAGATGGCTCAGTGGGTAAGAGCACTGGCTGCTCTTCCAAAGGACCCAGGTTCAATTCCCAGCACCCATGTGGCAGCTCGCAGCTGTCTGTAACTTCAGTTCCAGGGATCTGACACCTTCACACCAATACACATAAAATAAAGCTGAATAAATTATTTAAAAAAAAGAGTTGCTGTGGTCACAGTGTCTCCTCACAGCAATAAAACCCTAACTAAGACAGAATATTTTTCTTTTTAATATTACTTAGTATCCTCTCTGTCCATTCTTATCAGTATCGGACTTACACTCTTAGCCAGAGCCATAAAGCACAAGAAAAAAATAAAATAAAAAAAGGATACAATAGCAAATAATGAAAGTTAGCTTTTTGCAGATGATATGGCCACATTAATAAAAGACCCTAAAGGTTTTATGAGAAACCTGTTAGGTTTGATGAACACTGCAAAGCAGCAGAAATAAAACCATTGCACAAAAAGTAGTACTTTTCCTGAACACACTGAGAAAGAAATTGAGAAAACAATCCCTTTCACAATCACCTCAAACAAATAAACAGCCTAGTTAGTGTTGCAGATATTTGATTACACTGTGAACCCTGAGATTGCATTAACTAAATAAAAACCTGAGGTCAAGAGGCAGAGGCAGCAACTGGTTGACAGGAAGCAGCCATAGAGAGCAAAAAGGCTGTCAGGAAGACGAATGGGAAACACGCACAGGGACTTAGTCTGCTGGTCCCCTTATGGTGTGGAGTGACACAACATTTCTGAGATGCTGGTGAAGCAGGAAGGTCAGCTCCTCAGCCTCTCTGAGCTGGCAGTTTTTCACCCCAGCCTCTGACTCCTGAGTCTCAAGTGGTAAAACGATGATATAAATTTAGATAGGAACAGCAGCTGGTGATCCAAGTCACGGTGGCTTCTGCGATCTCCCCACCCCCACCCCGCTTCTCCACACGTGCATTTGGGACAACTCTGTTCCCGTGCACTTCCGCCACCAACGCAGTGGACGAAGCCGGGAAGTCAGTAGATTCGGTGAGACCCCTGGGAAGTCCTTAAAGGAGAGAGCTAATTAATATTAAAAAGAAAAATCCTTCCCGTGTTAAGGACAGGAAGTATCACAACGCGAATGGTGTGCAAATGGAGGCAAACGCATAAATGACTCAGCTGGGGTTGACATCGTGCTGACTGCAAATTGTTATCAGTCCGGTAATTCTGTCTCATCCTTAACAGCCACGGTGGTTTCCTGTGCCAAATATAAAAACTGGCCTAATAACCGTGCCATATATGAAAAGTTGGCCAGTAAGATACTAGCCTTAGAAACACTAATTAATGAAACTAAGAAAAGTACTCAGACACCGACATAGGAACTTAGAAAGGAGCCTACCATGCCACCACATGGTGGACATGAAGGGAGACGGCCCAATGCTATTAGAAAAAATCAACCTTAGTTTATCCAGTTACTATACAACAATGACCAGGAAATGATAGGCACCCCCAATGTTATCAGGAAGCTAAATGGAATCCTATAGAGATTTAGATTGGAGGAGATTTCATACATTACTCATCCTCCCCATGTGAAGCTCTTAATGATTTTCAAAAATTCCTGGGAGATAAGCCCACAATTGGATTAACTACTCAAGAGCTAAGTAATTTATTCCAGACCTTACTAGGTAGTAAGGACTTAAATCCTCCAAGAAAATTATCAACTAAGGGTGAGGGAGAATTAGCTTTGGTAGAAAAAAGTTATGGGATGCACATGTGGGTCACTTAGATCCAGAGCTTGGCTGTATTCCGGTTATTTCACCCTTTGTGCATGCTCCCACAGGGATTCTTGTGCAGAGAGAAGATAATGGCTGAGAATGGATATTTTTAGCTCACATACAGAGGAAAAAATTAGGGACCTATGTAGAAAAGTTTTCTGGATTGATTCTGAAAGGAAAAATGTGACTTCCTCAAGTAGCAGGACTAGACCCAACAGAAATTGTGGTACCTTTTACTAATGCTGAAATGGCCTCATTATGGGCAGAAAATGGACATTGGCAGAGAGCTTGAAGTAATTTGGGGGGACAGATTAGCAACAAATATCCCCAAAGCAAGAGACATCAGTTGATAAAAAGACCTAATTGGCTTCTGGAGCCCCTACATTCTACACTGATGCAAATAAATCAGGGAAGGGATATTATAAGCTGGGAAAAATAAGTAAATTTGGCTCAAGCCCTTATGATTCAGTTAAAAACTCAGAATTATAAGGTATTCTCATGGCATTGTTAGATTTTTTTCCAGAAACTCATAATATAGTTACTCTCAATATAAAATAAAACAGGAATTGTTTTGCATATTGAAACCACTGAACTTATTCCAGACAATTCAGAATTAACTTGGTTATTTACTTAATTAAAACAAATAATCAGAAATAGAAATTATCCCTTGTATATAACACATACCAGATCAGGCCCTCTAGCACAAGTTAATGATGAAATTGATTAGGTATTGTTATAAGATGTGCTGGAAGCCTCAGAATTTCCTAAGAAACACTTGTTAATACCAAATGTTTGAAGAAAGATTTTTTTAAATCTATAACCATACCATAGATACAAATTCAGGATTTCAGTGGGCAATTGCTTTAAGTTCTGAAAAGGCTGATTCTGTAATCACACATTTATTAGAAGTTATGCCTATATTAGTAATGTCTGTACAAATTAAGACTGACAATGCTCCAGCATATGTCTCTGGTAAAATGAAACAGATTTTTTTCGCATATTACAACATAATGTATACCTAGGCATGCCACACAATCCTACAGGACAAGACATTATAGGAAGATCTGTTTGCATTTTAAAAGATATACTTAATAAACAGAAAGGGGTAATAAAGACCCCCACAATAGAGTACACAGTGTTTATTCACTTTTAAGTTTTGTAAATGCTAATGAAAAAGAAACAATGACTGCAGAGAAACAGTGGGTATTAGAAAGAAATTGCTGAATTAAATCAGTCTGTACACTTTAAATATGTGTTGCGCTCAGAATGGAAACTAGGATATGTGTTATGTTGGGGATGAGATTTTGCTTTTTTTCCACAGGAGAAAAATTGTTATGGATACCACAGAAAGTCATAAAGATTAGATTTGAACAGGGGAGACCTCTTGAATTTATAAGGACTAACAGATATCTTCCATTTGATCAGGCATGAAAAGTAAAAATAAAAAAAATAATATTTCCAAATGACAATTTACCAAAGGCACACTTGCCTTACTGGCATTAAAGGAAAAATAGGTTTTTAAAAAATCACATATCTTAATTTTATATTAGAGTGGTAGACTATAGATTGCCACATGACCTATGTTGTCTTGGATATCCGCTTTTGAGTTTTCTTCTTAAGTAAAAAAGGATATTTTTGCTGTTTGGTATTAAAAACACAGTTAAGAGATTTAAAATATTTTAAATAAATTCAAAGGGTTACTACAGTTCAAACTTGTTTTCTAAATCTCTAAGAGGTGGAGTTATTTGGAGCTAAGGTAAAATAGTTGAGCAAGGTGGTGGTACCCTGTGCTTTTAATCCCAGCAGAGACAGATGGATGCCTTTAAGTTAGTTGTTTTCTAGAGTTATAGTGAACAAGGTGGTGGTGGCATACACCCACACCTTTATGCCCACCACCCAGGGACAAAATTCAGATACAGCTTCTTATCAGTATGTTCACATACTAGACAAACCACATGCCATATTTATAGGCTATTGTAAAAATCCTCTCTAGGTATATACTACAAAGGCAGGTTGAAAGTCAAAGTTAATGCACTTTGTGATCGGAAAAAAAATACACTTTAACCTTGAGTTTATACATAAAGAGAAAGGGGACTATCACTATAACATTTATCCACACATACTAAGGAACATTTAGTTTCAAACTTTTAAAAGTATTTTTTGAAAGATAGTACTTTTCTGTTGCCAAAATACATTTTGCCCTAGAAAGATATAACCTGCCATAAAAGGAATTCCCTAAAATTAGAGTTGGGGCAGGGTTTTGTTTTTGTTTTTCCAGGAGGATAAAAACATCCAACTAAGCAATCTAGAGACGATTGGACCAGTGAAACATCTGAAATAGGACAGATCATCAGGAGAAAATGTCCCCCCAAAAGAGTAAATTGGCCAAGTGGTATTGCCCACCTCCAACTTCTTGTTAGTGGGCACCTTTGAGGTCTCTAAGAAGATGATGGGTCCCTGAAATGACAAACCCACCTGGATTGTGGAAATGCCACTAAGCTGAAAAGTACCTGTAGTTGGTTTCTTTTCCCTAACTCTTTGGGAATCTGCCACACAGCTCTCAAATAAATGGCATGGAAATTTGTTCTTACTCATGAATGTCTGACCTTAGGTTGGCTTGTTTCTTGTCAGCTTTTCTAACTTAAATGATCCCATTTCTCTCTAACTGCATTTTGCCTCTGGGCTTTTTACCTTTCTTTATTTTATATATCTTTCTTTCCTTGTTATTCTGAGGCTGGCTGTGTGGCTAGGTGACTGGTCCCTGGTACCCTCCTCTCCTCCTTTACCTGCTCCTTCCTCTTGTTTCTTTTGAACTTAGACTTATCCTCTTATTTATTCTCTCTGCTGGCCCGCCCCACATATTTCTCTCTCCTGCCTAGCTATTAGCTGTTCAGCTCTTTATTAGACCAATCAGGTATTTTAGGCAGGTAAAGTAACTAATTAGGATATTAGTAAACTAATGTCCCACAACACCACACAAAGATCAACTTCAGACTGCAAACTGCTCAGGACATTCAAATTGCTGAGTTCATATGAGACTGATATGAGCATTTTGCAGAACTTTGAACTCAGAAATACTTCATCCTAAACCTGCCAAACACAACGAAGCTGGTCATTGTAGAAAGTTTGATCAAAATAGCTTCATTGTTGTAAATAGTTTCACTGTGTTAGAGTTAAAACCTTTCCTTTTTATTTAGACAAAAAGAGGAAATGTTGCAGGGCATTTGGTCACAGTCTGAGCCCCAAGATTGC